CGGCCGCCGAGTGCAAGCAGTCGCAGAGGAACGCGGCCAACGCCCGCGAGCGCGCCCGGATGCGCGTGCTGAGCAAAGCCTTCTCCCGACTCAAGACCAGCCTGCCCTGGGTGCCCCCCGACACCAAGCTTTCCAAGCTGGACACGCTCCGGCTGGCTTCCAGTTACATCGCGCACCTGCGGCAGCTGCTGCAGGAGGACCGCTACGAGAACAGCTACGTGCACCCGGTGAACCTGGTAGGGGCGCCGCGCGCGAGGCCCGGGGCGAGCGGCCCAGAGATGCCCAGCGCGCTCCCGGGCACCGGGCAGAGTCTAGTGGACGGGAGGAACCCTGAAGAGGGATGGCGGGTGGAGTCCGGACTGGGTGGTGAGGAGACCGGTTTAGTTTCTCCCAAATCATAGGAGATGCCAGCGGTTTTCCTGGAGGAGAACCATCCATCCTTCTGGGTTTGCATCATTCTGACCATTGTACGTGGTGCTTTGCCCAGTGACAGCTATTGGTTAAAATCCTACTTCCGGGGTGAATCTAGGTTCCATCTGAGTCCGTTACCCCGTTGCAGATTGCATGGCAAATCGCCCTTCCCTAACTGTTTCCAGCTGAGTGTGACAGGTTTGAATCAACGAGCTCTACTTTCTGAAAGGAAGGAGCAAAGGCCGAGCTCTTTTTAAAAAGACTTTGGATTTTTCAGTTCTTGAAGAACAGCAGAGGTTTCCCCAAACGGGATTTGTCTGGAAAGTCCCTCTCCGACTTGCCAACACTCTGGGCTTGAGAAAGATCATATCCTAGTTCCTACTTGGAGCGAATGGCTGAGTGTGTGTGTGTGTGTGTGTGTGTGTGTGTGTGTGTGTGTGTGTGTGTGTGTGTGTGTGTGTTAAGGAGAAGAAAATTAAGCGGCAAAATCCCTAATTCATGCAAGTTTCGCCGAATCATCGTGAGGGCAGCATGGACAGACACCTCACGTCTCACGTTATCAAACTCCAGTAAAATTGAAGTCTTAGTTTAGAGAGAAAACACGCAGATTCCCAGAATATTGACAAATTCAGATCTACTCAAAGCCAGGGATATTCCAGGGTTCATGTTGGAGAGCGGTTTCGGTTTGAAACGGTTGTTTCTCCCACAGTATCTAATGCTCTTTTTGATTTTACAGACTTGGCCTTTTGTGGTCTCGGGACGACCCGACTCTGACACCAAAGAAGTTGCCGCAGTTAACAGATTATGTGGGACCACCGCTTAGAAGGAGCTCCAACTCGACGGGATTATTGCTTAAGCGCCTGTGTTTGGGGGCCAAGGAGAGAAGCGAGACCGCGTGAGAAACCCCAGAAATGGGAAGTTCCATTGGATTCTCCTAGACTCCCCCACCCCGGAACTGTGAACTCAACAGGTGGCGGGCGTTGGGGGCAGAGCCTGAGGGTCGGCGGCGCAGCTGTCATCACAGGGCGCGGATCGCTAGGCTGCCACGCGTCCGGGCGAGGACGCTTTACGCGCGGACGCAGATCCAACCTGGGCTTTTAGCAGTGTAGACTAACCCCGGCGCTGCAGTCTGAGCCCAGGCCAGCCGCCCAAGGGTTAGTTTGCAAGCTAAGCCAGATACACATCTGTGGTGGCACGACTCTGCACAGGCCAGGCCCTCACGGTTAGGCAGTGGTTAGAACGCGCTCTCCATGGTCGGCTTTAAAAACAGGGGTCTTCACTTAAGACCTACATCGGGGCACGCTCTTCAGTTGCAAAGAGAGGAGTGTGGCACACCTGGCCCAGGTTTGTACCCTACAGGTCAGCTCCCCGCTGCGGGACGGACGGTGCCCTCTCGGTGCGGGGAGAGGGGGAGGCGCGCTTTCAGAGACCAAACCCCGCTGGGTTTTCCCGGGAGCGTCCCAGCAGTTCGGCCTCCGGTATGGCGAAGCCCTTCACTCCCCGCAGGCTCCCGTCTCTTCCTAACCGGGCTCCCGTCTACCCTCCTCCCCTTCTAGGCTCGAACCTCCCACAGGCCTTCCACCACCAACCTAGCTGGGCCTCCTTCGGGGCCTCTCTCTACTCCCTCCTCCCACACCTACTTGCAGCCCACTCACCCCACCTCCCCCTGCAACTCCTGACCGTCCCCGCCTGGCCTCCCATCTCCAAGCTCAGGTGGCCGCCTCCTCCAACTCTGCCTCCCGGCGCCGCCCACGTTTTCCTCCGTGGCAGGACCTCTGGCTGGACCGCGGAGGCTGTTCGGTACCTAGCGACCTGCTCAAGGGGACCGCGTCGCTGCCCCAGGCTGCACTACCATAATTAGCAGATGTAAATAAATTTATTTTTTTATGAATAATAAAACGCGTTGTGAAAACCCTTGGGGCACCAGAGTGTGGTCTTTGTTGCTCTTGAGCGAGCTTGGCCTGGGAATTCACTTGAAGGTGCCCTCTTGTCTCTAGGCAGGGATTGGGTCGCTGTCAGCAGAAGGGCGCTTTTCCCCAGGTAACTCTCATTAATTTCTATGGTTCTGATTCTTCTTCTCAAGGCAAGGGCTACTGGAAGGCAAACACTGGAGGCTTGTTAGGCCCCAAGAGTCTTTTGGGGTCAGGGCCAGGTTGAAAGGTATACACTCTTCAAAGGCATATAGATGCACTTCTTTCTTCCTTACACACACACACGCACACGTACATATATTGGACACTTTCATCAACCTATTAAGCACACCCCAGTGCCTACAATTGGGTAGTTCAAGCCCACACATCCAGAGTAGGGGATGGGTCTCAGGTCCAAATGACAGAATAAAACCATAATACAAGGTGCCAATTTGTAGCGCTTTTCTTTTTTTCAAATAATTCTTATATAGAGCTTTTGACGTAACCACCTCATCTTCCTTGTTATTTTCTTCCATTCCCACTGCAGTTTTCACAGGAAGTAATGACTTGGGAAGCCCATGACATGGTGTTTTAAAAGCAGGTCTTTTCTTTTTTTTTAAAGGAGCATTCTCTTTGTAGAACATTTAGAAAATGTAGAAAAGTGTGAAGGGGAAAAACTACCTAAACAACTGTCCAATTTGAGGTGTGTCTGTTATTTTATAAAATTGAAAGGCAGTTTTCTTGACCAGAGAGAGAAAATACAGCTGGAGTTTAGGAGGTGAGAGGGAGGTGAGGGAACGTGATTTCCTGTTTTGAATTAAACCAAACCAAAACTCTGGAGAACTGCTTTCTGGCACCATTTTCTTGGGCTTTTGTTCATGCTCGGTGGGGATCCAGCCTGCAGGTCCAGTCTTCAGGGTAGGAGTCTGGGGGTCTAGTTACTTGGTTTCTGTGGCATCTGGCTCTCTAGTAAAAGAAACCCGGGGAGTAACTAGCGACAGGAAACCTTACCGTGGTGGTTAAAGGCACTTTGGCTGGTCATAAGTTCTGGGTGCCTAGAGGAAGGGTGTCGGCTGAAGCCAGCTCTTAGTCAAGGTCTTTTCCAAAGCTTCCAGCCAAGGAGGTCCTTTTCACGGGAAGGAGGCATCGTAGTTTAGGCATCTTGTGAAGGTGAACCTGTATGTCTGAAGACCCCTACTTGAAATCCAAGCTCTGCCACCCCACAGACTAGGGACCCCTCTCAACCTCAGTTTCCTCATCTACAAAATGGGATAATAACAGTGCCAGCCTCAGGAGACTGTCATCAGGAATAAATGTGATAACAGTATTTCAGCAACTCTTCTAAGGCAGTGAGCAGCGCCCTAAATGCTGACTGACTACTATGAGAAAAGGGAGGGGAGGCTTTGGCCGAGAGGGACACTCCAGTCTTTCAGACAGGGTCCTGTTTTGAGATGCCTGGATGAAAACAGTGAGAGTAGTGCCCCACCAGCGCAGAAACAGAAAAGAAGAGCAAAGAGAAAAGGAAGAAAAGAAAAGAAAAAAGGAAAGAAAAGAAAAGCTATATTTGTAGCAAATACAGATAAGAAAAAGCATTTGAATAAACAAGGAAATATTAGGGCACATTTTCATAAGCCAAAGAAAATATTTTAAATATGTGTTACTATTACAATACTATTATATTCTTTCAGGACACTTCAACGGCAAACTCACAGATTTTCTGCCCCTTATTCTGCCTCCCACACCCATTCAGATGGTACTGTTTGCTGACTCACAGACCCACAGTGTTGTACTCTGCAAATTCATTTTTTATTGCACTTGATAATCCGACAATTTACAGAGAATAAACAACATTTTCTCAAGAATGTTTTACTTTGTGGTTTCCGTAAAAAATCCAATGTCAAGAATTGTTATTTTACAAAAAGAGAAGAAACAGAGAGGCCAATTTCTAGTAAGTCCCAATGATTCAGTATAAATTGCTCAAGCTTCTGGGCAAGGGATGCTGTTGGGAGAAGCCTGAAGCAGCTTAAACCGGTCCTTCCTTGATCAACCGCGACTACTGACTATTGTAACTACCGTGTGCTCAAAGTGGTAGAAAAGCATCCCCAGACTTTCCTTTCTTCTTTTTTGGCTTCATCATTTTCCTTTAGGGATTTGGGTTGGAGAAACAGCAGCTGGGGCTGGGGAAATGAGGGAATTAAAAAGAAAGAGAAGTAAGATTGTCTTTAGGGTTATTTCCATTTGATTCTACAACTCTGAAAGAAAAGTTGAGGGAAAAAATTTTAAGAAATATAATGTAAAAGTACTGAATGACAAATCAAATGAGTAAATTGAAAAATACTCTTTAGGGGGCTTTTTGAGGGGCCGAAGCAGTATTATTAGTGAGACTGACTCAATCAAAGAGAACAAAAATCCCCTTTCACAGGCTCTTCCTAAGATGAATATTTTAAAAGAAATGTTTTCAGCCCTGTAATTCTGAAACACTTCGGCGTTGCTCTTGGTTGTGGATGGAGAATTGACCTGGGGCGTGTTCTTCTGCAATGAGCTTCCAGTTGCAACTTCATGTTCTGACGGCTCCTTCAACAGACAGTGACAATGACCATTACAATTTACAAATGAGATTTTTTTCCCCCAGTAATAAATGCTTCATAAGTCAAAAGTAAATAAGAAAGATATCCCCCCTCCATAAAAAGAACTATGTGGAACATACCCTATTTTAATAGGTAATAGATAAATGGTTTGCCTAATACTTTCAAAATAAAATGAAATGACCAAGAAAGTGTCTGGGAGGGCAAAAAAGCAGGTAAGTTCATAATTGACTTCTCACTGCCAAGCATCTGACTTCTGGGAGAATTCACTAAGAGGTACAGATTGGCTCCCCTCGTACTGGGTGCCTGGCTACTCTCTTCCCACTGAGCACTTCAGCTTATCCACCTGAGGGTGGACAGTGGGCTTGCGTCTTTGCACTCACCACCCACCATTCAGCGCCTTGTCTATGCTGTTTTGCCTCTTGTATTATTTTTTCTTCTCTCTCTCAGAACAGTGAAAACAATGGTCCAGAGAAATCCCTGGAATCCATGACTCTAAGACAGTATAGGAAGTAGCCGGAACCTGAAATCTACATGTAATTGTGTAAACATAATTAGCACGAGAGTGCTAGTGCCTTGAATGATCTCAGACCTTGTGGTTCTCCTCTCACCACGATAGGTTATGGATCAGCTTTGAGATCCTTCACTGCTTGTGGTAAAGAGGCTTGTGGAGCAGTTAAAGGCAGGAGCTTGCAGCTGGATGGAAATATGGTATTCGTATTGACTATTACTCTTATCAGTAGAAATGGGGAGGAGTAGGGAGCAAAGAGCAAGAGGTTTTTATCTTTCACTTTTCTTTGTTAAAACGTTTATATATTATTTTTAGAATTTTTAAAAACTCATATTTTTTAAAAGGATTGCAAGCTGCCGTGTCAGATGTAGCTGGTTCCAGTCTAGCCCCGCCATCCACAGCCCTGCACCTTTACCCATTTACCTTCTTCTCTGTGAGGTGCAACTGATACATCCTACATCACAGACTGTATTGAAAATGGATTAAATGAGATAATTCTTTAAAGCATCTGAGCAATATTCCATAAATGTTAATTTTTTTTAAAAAGTTGAAGACTTGATTTCTTTCCTTCCTCTAACGATAGTTCGGGTGTCCCTTAATCCTCATCTGCACATTTGTCCTGCCATTCCCCACCATCACGTTTATCGCCTTGCTCTTTTATGCCACATCTAGTTGTCCTATATTGTTGTCATGAAGGAGAAATTTTCACTTGGTTTTCTCTTTAAAAATGAAGATCATAAATAACACTTAACATCAAAAATTATACATGGGATACAAAACAAATCCATTTAGGAGTGCAAGATGGGCCAGTAGATTTTGATGTAACAGAATCCAAAAAGTTCATTGATATGATTTCAGATTTCACATTGTAGCCAACTTTTCAGAAACCATACTTGTGCAGTCTAGGTGTAGAATCAAAGAATATCACAATTACCTAAAATGGCCATTAAAACACTTCTTTCCTTTACAATTGCAACTTGGTATGAGGCTGAATTTTCTTCCTATACATCAATCAAAATAACATATCACAACAGATTGATGTGGAAAGAAGAAATGAGAAGGCTCTCTTCTATGAAGTCAGATATTAAAGAGGTCTGCATAAATGCAAAACGTTGCCACTTTTCCCACTAAAATATTTTGGAAAACATAGTTACTTTCATTGAAAATATGTTATTTACTTTCACATGTAATTAGTTCATTATTATTTTTAAATAAATTAATGGAAGTTTCCTCTCAGCTTTGACTTCCCATCCAGTAAATATCAACAGATACAAGCCACATAAACAAAAGTTTTTCAAGGTCTTTAAGATTTTTTTTTCAAATGTAAAAATATCAGAGGCAAAAATGTTTGAGAACCACTGACCTAGATAATTCCTAAGGCCCTTTTCATTGATAAAATTCACATTTTCTTGATTTTTCTGGTGATCTCTGCAGGACAGGAGCCTGTAGATCACGTCCAGGTTGGATACAGGAGCAAACATTAGATCCAAAAGATTCTCTGGAGAGGTTAAGATAACAACTTAGATGGGCAGGCCTTCTCCAGGCAACATGGCTCTGGACTAGGCTGAAAAATCAGCAGGACCAACGTGTGTACTGCTTCCACACAGGCTGCTCTCAGAAAGATCTCGGTACCATTTCCTACTCTTTCTATCTCATACCCATCTCTCCTGTCCCTATAGGCTCTTAATTTTGAGCATTTGTAGCTTCCGGACTGGACCTGGTTTTCAGATGAAAGAGAAAGTGATGTTCCAAATTCATGACTGTAAAATCCAATTTCTTTTGCCCCTATGTTAATATTCTCTGAGGGCTATGTTAGAATCATCTCATTATATAGCACTAACGTAAGAAATTTATTTAAGGAAATGGGGGAATCATTTGCACTGTTCCTCAGTTAAGAGATTTCACGTG